TTCTCTGCATTATATTCACACCACACATTGCCCTCAGACATGACATCTCCACTGCCTCCAGCCTTCTCCTCGCTGCAACATTCATCACCCACGCTTCACACCCATATAAGAGCGTTGGTAAAACTATACTCTCATACATTCCCCTCTTTGCCTCCAAGGACAAAGTTCTTTGTCTCCACAGACTCCTAAGTGCACCACTCACTCTTTTCCCTCATCAGTTCTATGATTCACCTCATCTTTCATAGACCCATCCGCTGACACGTCCACTCCCAAATATCTGAATACGTTCACCTCCTCCATACTCTCTCCCTCCAATCTGATATTCAATCTTTCATCACCTAATCTTTTTGTTATCCTCATAACCTTACTCTTTCCTGTATTCACTTTAATTTTCTTCTTTGCACACCCTACCAAATTCATCCACCAATCTCTGCAGCTTCTCTTCAGAATCACCCAAGAGCACAGTGTCATCAGCAAAGAGCAGCTGTGACAACTCCCACTTTGTGTGTGATTCTTTATCTTTTAACTCCACGCCTCTTGCCAAGACCCTCGCATTTACTTCTCTTACAACCCCATCTATAAATATATTAAACAACCACGGTGACATCACACATCCTTGTCTAAGGCCTACTTTTACTGGGAAAAAATTTCCCTCTTTCCTACATACTCTAACTTGAGCCTCACTGTCCTCGTAAAAACTCTTCACTGCTTTTAGTAACCTACCTCCTACACCATACACTTGCAACATCTGCCACATTGCCCCCCTATCCACCCTGTCATACGCCTTTTCCAAATCCATAAATGCCACAAAGACCTCTTTAGCCTTATCTAAATACTGTTCACTTATATGTTTCACTGTAAACACCTGGTCCACACACCCCCTACCTTTCCTAAAGCCTCCTTGTTCATCTGCTATCCTATTCTCCGTCTTACTCTTAATTCTTTCAATTATAACTCTACCATACACTTTACCAGGTACACTCAACAGACTTATCCCCCTATAATTTTTGCACTCTCTTTTATCCCCTTTGCCTTTATACAAAGGAACTATGCATGCTCTCTCTGCCAATCCCTAGGTACCTTACCCTCTTCCATACATTTATTAAATAATTGCACCAACCACTCCAAAACTATATCCCCACCTGCTTTTAACATTTCTATCTTTATCCCATCAATCCCGGCTGCCTTACCCCCTTTCATTTTACCTACTGCCTCACGAACTTCCCCCACACTCACAACTGGCTCTTCCTCACTCCTACAAGATGTTATTCCTCCTTGCCCTATACACGAAATCACAGCTTCCCTATCTTCATCAACATTTAACAATTCCTCAAAATATTCCCTCCATCTTCCCAATACCTCTAACTCTCCATTTAATAACTCTCCTCTCCTATTTTTAACTGACAAATCCATTTGTTCTCTAGGCTTTCTTAACTTGTTAATCTCACTCAAAAACTTTTTCTTATTTTCAACAAAATTTGTTGATAACATTCATCACCCACTCTCTCATTTGCTCTCTTTTTACATTGCTTCACCACTCTCTTAACCTCTCTCTTTTTCTCCATATACTCTTCCCTCCTTGCATCACTTCTACTTTGTAAAAACTTCTCATATGCTAACTTTTTCTCCCTTACTACTCTCTTTACATCATCATTCCACCAATCGCTCCTCTTCCCTCCTGCACCCACTTTCCTGTAACCACAAACTTCTGCTGAACACTCTAACACTACATTTTTAAACCTACCCCATACCTCTTTGACCCCATTGCCTATGCTCTCATTAGCCCATCTATCCTCCAATAGCTGTTTATATCTTACCCTAACTGCCTCCTCTTTTAGTTTATAAACCTTCACCTCTCTCTTCCCTGATGCTTCTATTCTCCTTGTATCCCATCTACCTTTTACTCTCAGTGTAGCTACAACTAGAAAGTGATCTGATATATCTGTGGCCCCTCTATAAACATGTACATCCTGAAGTCTACTCAACAGTCTTTTATCTACCAATACATAATCCAACAAACTACTGTCATTTCGCCCTACATCATATCGTGTATACTTATTTATCCTCTTTTTCTTAAAATATGTATTACCTATAACTAAACCCCTTTCTATACAAAGTTCAATCAAAGGGCTCCCATTATCATTTACACCTGGCACCCCAAACTTACCTACCACACCCTCTCTAAAAGTTTCTCCTACTTTAGCATTCAGGTCCCCTACCACAATTACTCTCTCACTTGGTTCAAAGGCTCCTATACATCCACTGTACTTGTACCTAAATAAACTTACTAACCCATATGGGTTAGCACTTGTGTAGTAATAATATTAGTAGTAGTAGTATTAATTATTATTATTATGCACACAAATTGTGTTCACATTACATAATATGTAACAATAAAGTAAGTTTATGTAGGCACAGGTACACATACACACAATTATCATACATAGTGTAAATTACCTAGAATAACCCAAAAAAGCCAGCGACTTATTTCCAGTGGGGCCCTTGACCCCACTAAAGTAGTTGTTCGATGTGCACTCATCCTGTGGGTGGTAGTGCAAGAAACACTGATAAAAATAGGGTAATCATAGAATGGGTGGAACTCAAACCCATGGTGGGTTAGGCCTAAAATTTGCAGGCCGGTGATTCACACACTGAGTTTCCGTGGTTCAGCCTTCAGTACGGGTGGAAATGTTGGATGTATTTCCATACACCTGTCCCTGTTCACCTAGCAGTAAGTAGGTACCTGGGTGTTAGTGGACTGGTGTGGGTTACATCCTGGGGCAGAAGATTGAAGGACCATAATGGAAACAAGACCAACCCTCTGGATTAATAATTTGAACAAATCTTAAGTTCAATGCCCATCAACATGGATTTTTAGTTTATTGCAAATGGATTAACTGATTATGTGTAATTTGAAAGAGGTTATCATTTGCAATGGCCTTTTTTTTCATACCCAACTACTGCTGTATGCAGTACGTACTAATGAAAAAAATACTTTTTAAAGTAGAAGTGGTGATGTATATGGTACTGTACGTGAACTTTGAATTAGTTGCAGAGTACGCTAGCTCCTGTTTTAAAATGAGTCTCTACTCACATGGTTGTGGGTGGCAGAAAGTTTCACTGTGGTTGGAGGGCAGTGTGTGTGTGTGTCACTGTTGGCAGAGGGTGGAGTGTAGTGGGAGAGCTTCAGTGTAGGTGGAGAGGTAGGGAGCTTCTCTGTGGGTGGAAGGTGCATACTCCCATACTAAATGGCATACACTTAAAAAAAATGAAGAAGCTAGTAGTGGTTCTTCAGCTAAGATAGAAAAAAATGAAGATCCCTACTGTACCCCCATAAAATATTAGATAATGATTGATTATGCTCAATATTGATAAACAGCATCTCCTCACTTAGTGACGTACTCGTTTACCAACTGCTCGGACTTATGACCAGCTCTCCAACCAGTATGCAAAAACGTATATTAGAGCTGATTTCCTCTATTCTGTATACTATCGTATACAGTACATGGTGAGGGTCCGGGTTCAATTCCTGGCGAGGGTAGAAACATTAGGCATGTTTCCTTACACTGGTTGTCTATGTCACCTATCAGCAAAGTGGGTACCTGGGTGTTAGTCGACTGGTGTGGTCGCATCCTGGGACTAAATTGACCTAATTTGCCCTAAATGTTCTGCATAACAAGGGGCCTTCTATATAGTAGTATGTCATTGATGTCAGCTAGGCCTGTACATCTTGTACTTGTAGAAATAAAGATATTTTTATTGTTATTATAAATGATGCAAAGGTGGCATTAAGAAAATATCTAAAGATGATTGGCACAATCCCACTACCAGTATAGTATGCTCCTCACTTAACAACCAATTTGCTTACCGACCTACTCCGAGGAATGGAACCCCGTCGTTAAGTGAGGAGAGGCTGTATTTACTTTATTAGCTTGGAAAGAGCACAAAATGGAAGAGACTCGAAGAGATATACCTTTCAATATACATTTGACAGGTTTCAAGAGTTTTCCTGCCCCCACAGCTTGGTCCTGGGCCAGAGACGGGCTGCATTGCTTCCTTATTCATGTGTTTTGATTTTCCAATGTCTCCTGATGGGTATCCAGCGAATAGATTAAATTACCTTATTTTTCCTGACTTTATGGCTTACCCATCCCCAAAATCTCTTTTTTTTTTTTTTTCTAGTCACTGTTTCTTATGAATATCACTATTAACCAAATTAAAGTTATATACTGAAGTGAGATGGTTTATGAAACACAAATTGAACAAAAATCAAAGAAAATTTATGACACTGGCTTAATTTTGTATTGTTTCTGGTTTCTAGTCTTACAGGAGCTTCTGGGAATGTATGTCCCCCTATAAAGCGGTACCTCGGAATGCGAACTTAATTCATTCCAGAAGGCTGTTTGAGTGCCGATACCAAACAAATTTCTTCCCTTAAGGAATAATGTGAATTAGATTAATCAGTTTCAGACCCCCAAAAATACACTTACAAAAGCACTTGCATAAATATACTTACATATTGTTTGAGTTTCGAGCTGTTCGTATCCCGAGGTACTACTGTACAGTGGACCCCCGCTTAACGATCACCTCCCAATGCGACCAATTATGTAAGTGTGTTTGTACGTGTATGTTTGGGGGTCTGAAATGGACTAATCTACTTCACAATATTCCTTATGGGAACAAATTCGGTCAGTACTGGCACCTGAACATACTTCTGGAATGAAAAAATATCATTAACCGGGGGTCCACTGTATTTTGTAGGGACAGTTGCACATTGGAGTAGAGCTAGATAATATTGAGATGAACATTATCATATACAAATTTGATTGAAAGGCAATCATGTTTTTTTATAATTTTTTATTTTTTAGATGTAATAATGGTGTTTTATTAATACTAAAATGTTGTTGTGCAAGATTAAAACCCAAGTTTTGTAAATGTTTAAATTTTGCTACAATATTTTTGCCTTGGATACATAGTTGAATGCTCATTTTTACTTTCAGGGAGTACATTGAGAAGGAGCTCATTGAATTTGCAAGAGTGAATCCTGGTGTTGTGGTGTATCTTAAGCCACGTCGTCACAGGTCACCATGCCTTAAAGCCGAGTATTGTAAGTTTAGTTGCCATCATATTTTTGGGGATAGTGATAACTATACTTGCATCTAATGATAGTTTTATTAAAAAAAAAAATTATCTTATTTTCCATTATACGTATATGTCAATAGCTTTTTTTTCTAGGCTCAATTTTTTTATACTGTGTAAACTGTTTAGTTTATCCTGTCATTTTATATTCTCTAATTTTTTCTTTTGCTTCTTATACCTAGCCCTACTAACAGCCAGGTACCTACTTATCACTTTGTGAACAGGGGCAGCTGATATAAGGAAACGTACCTGGTGTGTATCCTCGCCTGTCACGTGGGAGACCGGGGTTTGATTCCCTGCTGGAGAGGACAATGTTTTAAGGATCCCAATGGAAATAAGTCACTCTGTCTGACTTTTTTGGGTTATCCTAGGTTCTTTACACATATGCTGCTATGTATGATAATCATGTAAGTGTATAGTTGCAAGTGTATTTTTGGGGGTCTGAAACGAACTAATCTAATTTACATTATTCCTTATGGGAACAAATTCGTTCGGTAACGGCACTCGAACAGCCTTATGGAACGAACTACAGTAGGTACGAAACTCGGGGTACCACTGTAGTTTGGCTCAGATTTGTAAAAAAAAATTTTATTAACACATTGGCTGTTTTCCACCAAGGTAGGGTGGCCTGAAAAAGAAAAACTTTCACCATCCTTCACTCCATCACTGTCTTGCCAAAGGTGCACTTACACTACAGTTATAAAACTGCAACATTAACACCCCACCTTCAGAGTGCAGATACTGTACTTTCCAGCTCCAGGAATCAAGTCTGGCCTGCCAGCTTCCTTGAATCCCTTCATAAATATTACCTTGCTCATACTCCAACAGCATGTCAAGTCCTAAAAACCATATGGCGTTAAAACTAGAGTGCCCCTCTAGTCTTAACGCCATAGTAATACTAATAGTACATAATAATAATCACTCTTGGACACATTGTCTTATTTTACGTTAATGTAGACATTTTCATTAAGTCATCTATGATACTTTCTTCAAAATTATATAAGAAACACGTTACATAGCATATAAACATGCTATGCTTATATGCTATGGAGGTGTGGTAGCCAGTGAAGGGAAAACATTACATTTTCTCTGGTCCAGCACCAGAGAAAACATGTATAAATCTGCGTTTGGCCCAGGCACTCCCCTTCACATTCTGCTTTTGTTTCACAATTCTCAGCATGAATTATTCATTACTTCTCCCTTCGTTTATGATGGCATCTAAAGGTAGTTGTTAGAAACAAACTCTGTGAACAAGGTATGTCGATGGTAATAATATGGCTCTGGACCGCATTAAATATCGTATAGCTATGTAGGTAAGTCTAGGTAGTAGGCTGGTAGACAGCAACCGCCCAGGGAGGTACTACCGTCCTGCCAAGTGAGTGTAAAACAGAAACCTGTAATTGTTTTACATGATGGTAGGATTGCTGGTGTCTTTTTTTTTTCTGTCTCATACACATGCAAGATTTCAGGTACATCTTGCTACTTCTACTTACACTTAGGTCACACTACACATACATGTGCAAGCATATATATACACACTCCTCTGGGTTTTCTTCTATTTTCTTTCTAGTTCTTGTTTATTTCCTCTTATCTCCATGGGGAAGTGGAACAGAATTCTTCTTCCGTAAGCTATGCATGTTGTAAGTGGCGACTAAAATGCTGGGAGCAAGGGGCTAGTAACCCCTTCTCCTGTATATATTACTAAATTTAAAACGAGAAACTTCTGTTTTTCTTTTTGGGCCACCCCACCTCATTGGGATATGGCTGGTGCATTGAAAGAAAGAAGAAAGGTGTAGGTAAGTGTAGCCCAGGTAGGCTACATCTGGCTACCTACACCTGGCTTCCTACAAATAAATACTGCTCACCTCTCATCCTACATTAAAACTACACATATTTTAAGGTAAATAATGGGCATACTGTATGTGTATTTTATCTCTATTTTTTTTTATTAACACATTGGCTGTTACCCACCAAGGCAGGGTGGCCCGAAAAAGAAAAACCTATATCATCATTCACTCCATCACTGTCTTGCCAGAGGCATGCTTAAACTAGTTATAAAACTGCAACATTAACACCCCTCCTTCAGAGTGCCAGCACTTTACTTCCTATCTCCAAGAATTAAGTCCGGCCTGCCGGTTTCCCTGAATCCCTTCATAAATGTTACTTTGCTTACACTGCAGCAGCACGTCAAGTCCTAAAAACCATATGTTTCCATTCGCTCCTATCTAACATGCTCACGCACGCTTGCTGGAACTCCAAGCCCCTCGCACACAAAATCTCCTTTCCCCCTCCCTCCAACCCTTCCTAGGCCAACTCCTACCCCACCTTCCCTCCACTACAGATTTATACACTCTCGAAATCATTCTATTTCGTTCCATCCTCTCTACATGTCCAAACCATCTCAATAACCCCTCCTAAGCCCTCTGGATAATAGTTTTGTTAATCCCACACCTTCTAATTTCCAAACCACGAATTCTCTGCATTATATTCACACCACGCATTGCCCTCAGACATGACATCTACACTGCCTCCAGCCTTCTCCTTGTTGCAACATTCACAACCCATGCCTCACACCCATACAAGAGCGTTGGTATAACTATACTCTCATACATTCCCCTCTTTGTTTTCATGGATAAAGTTCTATGTCTCTACAGACTCCTCAGTGCACCACTCACCTTTTTCTCCTTGTCAGTTCTATGATTCTCCTCATCCTTCATAGACCCACCTGCTGACACGTCCACTCCCAAATATCTGAATACATTCACCTCCAGTCTGATATCCAATCTTCTGTTACCTAATTTTTTTGTTTTCCTCATCACCTTACTCTTTCCTATATATTCACTTTTAATTTCCTTCTTTTACATACCCTACCAAAGTCATCAACCAACCTCTGCAACTTCTCTTCAGAATCTCCCAAAAGCAGTGTCATCAGCAAAGAGCAACTGTGATAACTCCCACTTTGTGTTAGATTCTTTATCTTTTAACCCCACACCCGAGCATTCACTTCTCTTACAACTCCATCTATAAATATATTGAACAACCATAGTGACATTACACATCCCTGTTTAAGGCCTACTTTTACTGGGAAATAATCTCCCTCTCGCCTACATACTCTAACCTGAGCCTTACTATCCTCATAAAAACTTTTCACCACTTTCAATAACCTACCTCCTATTCCATACATTTGCAACATCTGCCACATTGCCCCCCTATCCACCTTATCATATGTCTTTTCCAAATCCATAAATGCCACAAATACCTCTTTACCCTTATCTAAATACGTACTGTTCATCTATATGTTTCACTGCAAACACTTGGTCTACACACCCCCCTACTCTTCCAAAAGCCTCCTTGTTCATCTCTCTAGGCTGCTTTAAATGTCGTATATTAAGTTTGGGACGGGAGCCAGGGCTACCTACACCTGACTTCGTACAAATAAGTACTACTCACCTCTCACCCTACAATAAGACTACAAATATTTTAAGGTAAGTAATGAATGTACTGTGTATGTATTTTACTATTTAGTGTGTTTTTAATGCCTAGTTCTATACTAACTTAATATAAGTTAGTATAAACTTGTTGTCTAGCATTTATAAGTGGAAAAAATGGTGTTCTGCTTTCTGGCAGTAGCCTGGAACCTAACCTGCCATGTAAGTGGGGCCCCACTGTACAAATAAAAGTTTATTTTAACATGATAAATTGTTTATACAGAAATGGGTGCACACGTGTGCATGTTGAAAGCCCACATGACTCGATGATCCTATTATGCCTCATGGCCTTGATGTATATAGAGGAGACTTCATTTCCCAAATACTAATAATAGTAATATTCTTGGTAATTTGTTTTAGAAGCATTGGATATTACCTATATCATCCTGTCAAAAATTAATGTCTGGCATAGAATTAATTTTCAGATTGAGGATTAAGACACATACTCACCTAGTTGTGGTTGCAGGGGTCAATTCACAGCTCCTGGCCCCACCTCTTCACTGGTCGCTACTAGGTCACTCTTCCTGCTCCATGAGCTTATCATACTTCTTCTTAAAGCTGTGTATGGATTCTGCCTCCACTACATCACTTCCCAGACTGTTCCACTTCCTGACAACTCTGTGACTGAAGAAATACTTCCTAACATCCCTGTGATTCATCTGAGTCTTCAACTTCCAACTGTAACCTCTTGTTGGTCTGTCCAATTTCTGGAACATCCTGTCTCTGCCCACCTTGTCAATTCCTCTCAGTATCATGTCCCCCCTATCTCTCCTGTCTTCCAGTGTTGTCAGGTCGATTTCCTTTAACCTCTCCTCGTAGGACATACCCTTAGCTCCGGGACTAGTCTTGTTCCAAACCTTTGCACTCTCTCTAGTTTCCTTGCATGCTTGGCTAGGTGTGGGTTCCAAACTGGTGCTGCATACTCCAATATGGGCCTAACATAAACAATGTACAGGATCCTGAACGATTCCCTATTAACCCTTAAACTGTCCAAACATATATCTACATTTTTTCAACATTTGAAAGTATGTAAAAAAATGTAGATTTTTTTTTTTTTTTTTTTACATTTGAAAACGTGTAAAAAACCTTTTATCTACATTTTTTTTTTTTGCTATATTTGAAAATATATAAAAAAGTGTAGATCTACTTTTGGAGCACTATGGATGTGAACGTCGATCAGTGTGGACAGTTTAAGGGTTAAGATGTCGGAATGCTGTTCTTAGGTTTGCTAGGTGCCCGTATGCTGCAGCAGTTATTTGGTTGATGTGCGACTCACGAGATGTGCTCGGTGTTATACTCACCCCAACCCCAACAATTGAGCATCTTTATGCCATTTTCAGGTTGATTAATTTTGAATGGCTACACATATAAAAAATACAAGTGAAAGTTACAGATAATTGATAAAATACTTTTCAGTGAATGGAGGTGAGGAATACATTAGCTGCCACAGAATGACAAATGAAGACATAGTAAAGTGGGTGGAATATTTAAGGACACGATCTGGGTATCCTGTGGAGCGATTGCGCAAGTACCAACATACAGATCATCCATCAATTCAAGGTGCTTGGACTCCATGGATTCACCGTGACCCACTAGTCAATATTGCAGAATATCCTATAGTAAGTTCAGCACAATAGTGTATAATGTTACTATACTGTTTAGATTTAAAAAATACAATTCCAGTAATAAAGTATAGTCATACTCCATTACCACAGTAGAGCAAATAAGTTTAAATTCCTCTAAAGCTCTTAAAGTGTGGTTTATTCACAGAATAATGGTAAATGCATTAGTCAAATGGAATGCAAAAAAAGATTTAGGAATATTAATTAACAGAAATTTAAAGCCATGACAACACTGCATAGATGTTCACAATAAAGCTAATAGAATTTTTGGCTTCATATCAAGAAGTATAAATGATAAAAGCCCTTAAGTTATATTTCAAATTTCTATATTTTTGGCAAGGCCTCATTTTAATTATGTGTTGGAAAATATATAAAGAAGGATGACAAAGTTGAACTTGTGTATCAGAAACTTATCCTATGAAGACAGACTGAGGGCACTGAATTTGCACGAGCTGGAAAAATATAGAATGAGGGTTATGACTGAAGTGTATAAATGGAAAAGAGGAATATAAGTAATGTGCTGAAAAACTCAGACCAAGACAGGACTCACAGCAGTGGATCAAATTGGACAAATTTAGATTTAGAAAGGATGTAGGGAAGTATTGGTTTGGCCGTATTGTAGGTGAGTGTAACAAACTCCCAGATGAGAACTTTGAATAACGGTTGGACAGGTACACAAGTCAGTGAGAGTAGGACCTGCCTAGCATAGGCCAACTTCGGCATTCCTTCGTAATCATATGCACTTTTTATACAGTATTAATCATATTTTCATTCTGATATTTCCTTAACAATGCATTGATGGAATATGAATTTTGGCTTGTGATTGTGCAACTCTTTTTTTTAAGTATGGTTTGATTGTCTTATAGTAATTTAATGGAGAGATCATATGTTCTTTGCACATTTTTAAGTTTTATTACTTGATTTGTTTATTCTTAGATATGTTACATGACATACCTTTTTCTTAACAGTTTAATTCTTATTCAGAGGAAAGCACTAAACCCATATAGTACCCTCACTCTCATTGCCTTCCTCTTGGAGAGCTCCACCTTCAGTGCAGACACTCTTTGGCTTCTTAACTGTAACTGACCTGTTAAACTTCCTCCATAGTACATGAGGTATCCCCTTTCTCATCTCTTGATGTCAACACCCTTTTTGCCATGTAGTGCTATATGATTCATGTGCGTGAATTAATAATAATTTATAGATTAAGAGTTGCAGAGTTGCAGAATTATATTCCTGATTTCTTTTTCCCCACAAGGAGGAGCTGTCTGCAGCATTCAAGACTGAGAAAACTGCAACTGATGAGGTTCTAGAGTTATTTGAAAAGCAGAAATTATCTGGTGAAGTAGATGTGTCATAATTTTTAGAGTCATTTTTTGCCATTCTCATTAAATGTTTTTGTACATTCTGTGTAATATGAATGGCTAAAGGTATTGATGTAGTCTTTAATGATATAATAAGTCTTAAATGAATTTAAATAAAACATCAATTTAAGAATGTGATTATTCCATGCCAGTTACATTATTGATTCAGATTTCTTAACATTACACTATTACAGAGGGGTTGAATACGGTTTATTTACAGGGTGCAGCATAAATAAATTTACTGAGGATTTGTTTTATATTAGGCTACACTGATTTGGCAACAATTATTTTAATTCACTGGTGCCCTAGTATAGTAGTCACCGTGCTAGCCCCTCAGGAGTCCAGAATAGTACTTATTGTGCTAGTACCTCAGTAGTCTAGTATAATAGTTACTGTGCCAGCACATCAGTAGTCCAGTATATTAGTTACTTTGCTATATCACTTATTGGGTAGTTGAAATAGGTAAATGGTCAGTTTCTGGTACTCAGTCAATAGAATAAAAGTTCTAGCGAAATAGCTATGAGTTTGGTCGACTGGAACAATGGAATTGGCAATGCATAAATATCGCCGAGACCATTAACTTTGCGATAGCTTAATTCCATAAGTTTTCCATCAAATTTCGTACTTTTGGTTTCATTACCTTCACAAGATACACAGCAAGAGCTCAAGAGATGTTTACAGCATGCATGTTAGTTGCTATACTGACTGAGACCCACGCTGTAGACTCTGGTGATCACGTGATCTGAGCGTTGTTGATCGACAACCAAGACCATGTACAAAACCCAGGACCAAATTCCTTGTTCGAAAATAGATTTGTTTGACAACTAATCCATTCAACAACTGAGGTTCCAATGTAGTTGCTAACCCATTGTTCTATGGTGTTGGAAGTAACAAAGATGCTTCTGTAAAATGGTGCTATTCCTGTCTGGTACTTTGTAGATCATTTTGATGATGTTCCTGTGCATGAGATGATCTTTAGACCTGTGTATAACATGAGCTTTGCTGGTTTTGTTTGTTACAAGAATATTTGTGTTCTGAATATGTGGAAATTTTTTTTTTACCATAGTTTCTTTTGTGTGAATATTGCTGCATACCCCACATGGTAAGGTCTAAACTCCTGCTTCACTGTTGGGTGTCTTGGGGATCTTTCTTCCTGGTAAGGCCTCCAGTGGAAGAGCTGGACATGGCAACTACACAAATGTTACTTTTAGAAAGGGCCTGCATGGTGTTGGCCTCCTCCAGATAGGATAAAGAATTCAGGTTTCCTGGTAGTGGCATTTTTGGTAGAGATAAGCATAGTCTTTGCTGTGCACTTGCAATCTTGAATAAAATGGTCTGTGCTAATGTACTGATTTCCTTTTCTAGGAATTTGAGGCTGGAGGGACTGATAGCTCGTAGGAAAGAAAGAAAACAGTGATCACACAACTGGTGCAAGTGTCATGGTTCGAGTAGAAACAAGCAGTCATCTTTATTTGTAGGCTTTCTGTATAGTGAAAAAAAGGGTGCCTTTGTTGAGATGACCTGCATAGAAGACATCAGATAATGATAGTTTGATTTTGTTTTCCATTTCAAGAGTAAATTTAATAGTTTTGACATTATTGATCTTCTGAAAAAGGACTTGAATGTTAAGTCTTCTGGAATATATGTAAAAAATGTCATCACACCTATCTATGCCTTGTGACCATGATACTACAAAAACCTTCAGTCTCCAAGTTTTCCATTAAAATGTTGGCTAGGATAGCACTTAGACTTTCCATGGCCAGGCTTTCATATCTGAATGAGTTGAAGTAGATGCATAGCTCATTGGCTATGAAGTCATGATGGAGTGAAGGTAAGCTAGTGATGTCCAGAAGTTTTGTTAGAGTATACCAGTGGAACATTTGCAAAAAAAGTAAAATCAAATGATGCCATTTTTATTATATTGATGTAGGTAAGAAGGCCTCTGAAGTGCTTGAGATAAGCAGCATTTAGTATACCTAGGATATCTGATAGACTTTTAGCTAGGTGTCTTGCTAATCTGTGCAGGGTACTTCTGATATCTAATGCAGTTGGATGAATAGGAATTCCAGGTTCGTGTCTATGGTAGTCTGTATAATCTAGTTGGTGTTGGTTGTACAGGTACTTCTGAATAGGATAAGATGCTATCTTTACCAGAATGACCTAAACCAACCAGGTTGTATAACTTATCAAAGATACAAACTTGGGATTACTATCCATTGTCATACCAGGTATTGCAAGTGCTCAATATAGACTAACCAGACACTTGTGCAAGTCTATCCAACATGTTAGGTATCATAAGTCATGCTCATAAACACTGAAGGCCACCTTGCCTGGATCAGAGAGATCCATGTTTAGAATAAACATGGAAGCATTTGATGTTACTGTACCTCACCTTTTACAAATGTAACCAAATGACAACAACTTGCTTTCACCCCGCTATGATTTCAAAGCTATACTCTACTTCAACTTGTTTGGATATAAAAACAGTTTTTCATGGAATGTTAGCTTAGCCATGGAAAATTCACTGAGAGAAGAATTGTAAATGAAGGCAAAAACTACCATTTATGTCCTTTGCAGATCGGCCAACAAAGGCACCCCCTTCTTTTAATGTCTACAGTAAGCCCACAAATAAAAATGACATTACTCATTTCTTCTCATACAATGACACTCGCTCCAAAAGGATGTGATCATAGGGTTTTTTCCCAAGAGTAATCCAGGTCTCCAGCCCCAAATTCCTAGATTTTCAGTACATTACCCATTTTTTTTTTCAACAAGTTGGTCGTCTCCCACCGAGGCAGGGTGGCCCAAAAAAGAAAGAAAATCCCCAAAAAGAAAATGCTTTCATCATCATTCAACACTTTCACCACACTCACACATAATCACTGTTTTTGCAGAGGTGCTCAGAATACAACAGTTTAGAAGCATATACGTATAAAGATACACAACATATCCCTCCAAACTGCCAATATCCCAAACCCCTCCTTTAAAGTGCAGGCATTGTACTTCCCATTTCCAGGACTCAAGTCCGACTATATGAAAATAACCGGTTTCCCTGAATCCCTTCACTAAATATTACCCTGCTCACACTCCAACAGATTGTCAGGTCCCAAGTACCATTCATCTCCTATCTAACATGCTTGCTGGAAGTCCAAGCCCCTTGCCCACAAAACCTCCTTTACCCCCTCTCTCCAACCCTTTCGAGGACGACCCCTACCTTGCCTTCCTTCCCCTATAGATTTATATGCTTTCCATGTCATTCTACTTTGATCCATTCTCTCTAAATGACCAAACCACCTCAACAACCCCTCTGACTAATACTTTTATTAACTCCACAACTTTTCCTAATTTCCACACTCCGAATTTTCTGCATAATATTTGCACCACACATTGCCCTTAGACATGACATCTCCACTGCCTCCAACAGTCTCCTCGCTGCTGCATTTACCACCCAAGCTTCACACCCATATAAGAGTGTTGGTACTACTATACTTTCATACATTCCCTCCATAGATAACATTTTTTTACTCCATATATTCCTCAATGCACCACTCACCTTTTTTCCCACATCAGTTCTATGATTAACCTCATCCTTCATAAATCCATCCGCCGACACGTCAACTCCCAAGTATCTGAAAACATTTACTTCTTCCATACTCCTCCTCCCCAATTTGATATCCAATTTTTCTTTATCTAAATCATTTGATACCCTCATCACCTTACTCTTTTCTATGTTCACTTTCAACACATTCCCAAACTCATCCACTAACCTTTGAAATTTTTCTTTAGAATCTCCCATAAGCACAGTATCATCAGCAAAAAGTAACTGTGTTAATTCCCATTTTGAATTTAATCCCACCCCTCTCCCGAACACCCTAGCATTTACTTCTTTTACAACCCCATCTATAAATATATTAAACAACCATGGTGACATTACACATCCCTGTCTAAGACCTACTTTTACCGGGAAGTATTCTCCCTCTCTTCTACACACCCTAACCTGAGCCTCACTATCCTCATAAAAACTCTTTACAGCATTTAGTAACTTACCACCTATTCCATATACTTGCAGCATCTGCCACATTGCTCCCCTATCATATGCCTTTTCTAAATCCATAAATGTAATAAAAATTTCCCTACCTTTATCTAAATACTGCTCACATATATGCTTCAATGTAAACACTTGATCTACACATCCCCTACCCACTCTGAAACCTCCTTGTTCATCTGCAATCCTACATTCTGTCTTACCTCTAATTCTTTCAATTACAACCCTACCATACACTTTTCCTGGTATACTCGATAAACTTATTCCTCTATAATTTTTACAATCTCTTTTGTCCCCTTTCCCTTTATATAAAGGGACTATACATGCTCTCTGCCATACCTGTATATAAAGAATATTGCAACTGCAAAACAAAGACTATCAACAGTGTCACTTCTGAGAAGCCTACTTTCTTGGAGAAGAGGGCATCACCATTGCAGGCCCTTTTTAAGAGTAACAGCTGCATAGCCATGTCTTCTATCAGAGATCTCAAGGGGAAAATTCTCAACAGTAGAACCTGGGAGGAAGCTTCTCACACATGCTTGTAACCAATATATGAGCAAAACTTATGCTGAGGACCATCTTGTATATTGAACTTTAACACAAATGATCTCCAGAGTAGGTACCATTGTATATGAACATCCTTAATTGCTATTTCCAAAACCTTAGAACACAGGGCTTGTACTTATTAGAACTCTAGCACAAATACTGTTGTACATGCTATCTCTGGGCAGCCATGTAACATGGCACTCTCCACTGTTCCATTTTCTTATATCATCCAAAAGATATTTATATTCTTTCATCCATGTTAATATAATTTCTACTCCCATTTATCATTAATAATAAAAATCATGTCAAGCAGTGAAAGATGTAGTTAATACTGTAGGAAAAGAAATCAACAAAAAAGCACCAGGGATCTTTATTATATATTTATTGATCAGTTGCACAATACAATACTTCTATTTATATAAAAAAAATAATACAATAATTTAGATTTAAACAAATGTTATTCAATCAATTATTTCTTTCTTGAGCTATCATATTATATCTAGAGGGAAGCTCTAAACACATAGGGGTGGCCTGGTGGCTAAAGCTCCCGCTTCACACACCCGGCGGGTGGAAACATTTCGACACATTTCCTTACACCTATTGTCCTGTTCACCTAGCAGCAAATCGGTACCCGAATGTTAGGCGACTGGTGTGGGTCGCATCCTGGGGGACAAGATTGAGGACCCCAATGGAATTAAGTTAGACAGTCCTCGATGACGCACTGACTTTCTTGGGTGGCTAACCCTTCGGGGTTAAAAATCCGAACGAAATCTTATCTTATAGCACTTGGGGAAATAGAAGGCAATCAGATTCTATTCAAGGAAGGTTCCTTGATGTTGGTGAGGGGCTCTTGATTTAGGAAATTGGATCTGTGCTCCAGTTCCCCGAATTAAGCCTGAATGCCTTCCACATTCCCCCCCCCCCCCCAGGCGCTGTATAATCCTCCGGGTTTAGCGCTTCCCCTTGATTATTATAATAATAATATAATCACGGGAGGCAGCACTAAACCCATAGGATTATACAGCAAAATTTTATCAAAATTAGTTGTCTGTGGAAGTTCCTTGCTGCCAGTGAGGAGACTTGATCCAAGGAACCTGACCTGCCCTCCCTCAAGTCAAACCTGATTACCTCCCATTCCTCCAGGCACTATATGACCCTTACAAGTTTAGTGATTCCCCATGAATGTAATAATATACAGTAGCTGCAATGATTCAGTACTTGCACATCTATTTAAGTAATTGATTGAGATTCTGGGAATCACCATTACCACTTTGAGGACATCTTCAAGACTTGCCATATAAACCTGTACTTCAGTTTGTAGAAAAATTACACCATCTTGGGCCCTAAAAGCAATCTTAAGTCATATTCAACTTTTGGTTATGCCTAGTTTGTGCAATACCACTGAAAGGGAATTCTGTTTATACAAAAAAAGAAAAAAAAATTTCCCAATGTAACCACAAAAAAATTTAGTACAATATGTATAAAAATTGAATTTATTCCCCATGGAAAATTCATCTTTACAACCAAACTGGTCGAAGTCATATACATAAATTAGTATTACTGTACCATATACTGCCATTCAGTTGCTCATGGGAATGCTCTAGCAAACATATTTATGCCCAGGTAAGTAACAATAACATCACAGCTGAACATCCAACATTTGAAGTCCTCATAGTAGTACACCACCCATTTGTACTGACAAACCTTACAGTTATGGTTGAAACACCGAGCTGCAAGGGATGCATTACCATGCCACCTACCTGATGTATTAATATTCTGAACATAACTACAGACTGTAGGCTTTAGCCAGAGTTTGCAATCTTAGTTTAATGAGCAGATCATTTTGCTAGAGGCAAGTGTAAATACATTGTCACAAAAATTCCCTAATAATCAGTTTCAACATCATAATGTAATTCATTGATGTTACAATAATGCTAATAAATTTAAGCTAACCCATGACAAGTCAGGGAAGAATTAAGCTTCACTTCAATACAGCTAATGTTGATTTTGGGAAAACTATGTGCACAAATAAAAATTTGTGTACATAACATGTTCAGTTCAGTGGGGTTCTACTGCATCACTATAGAAATAATATGAAAGTAACTGGCTTCCTATCTGGAATTTTTTCAATATTCAACTGACACATGCCATACAGGAACTGTAGAATATGAGTGACTCATTAAGTAATCTAAATTACAATCAAAACAATAAGTTGCATTACAAAGTATAATAGAATTAAAAAATAAGGGGCTGATAGTTCTAAAGCTCTCGTCCTTAATATAAGGAATCTGAACCATTTACTTCCCCCCTTCCCAGACACCTTTAGAAACTGCAACTTTTCAAATAACATCATACACAATTTTATATATTTAACTATAAACATTATATACAGTATATAAATATATTTTTTAATGTCTTTACTCTTTTTTTTATATAAAAAATAAAAAATACATTCAACATCCAAGAAATATTATTTCTTAGGCACACTGTTTCTCTAAACTATTATCATGTAAAGTACAATACTGTATTTATATAATTATATACCATACTAAGATGCTGAATAATTGAGCAACCTCTTTGGTAAGGTTTAATTAAAAAAAAATCACCCATGGGATCAAGCTTTGTGGTAGCTCTTTATGTTCATTTTGTTAACTTTTTCTTAGTTTACTGGTACAGGTCCACATCCCTTTATCCAAAACCCTTTGGGGCCAGTATAGTCTCTAGGTTCAGATGACCCACACTACAAGAAAAACCTTCAGTTTTTGGAACTTTTCCAATTTCAGAATTCGGATAAAGGGTTGTGGACCCGTAACACATGATGTTAAGACACATCAAAACAAGTAATTTTTATAGTTGCCCACTTGAAAAATTGAATGCTAAAAGTTAACTTATCACAGAGTGTATTTCACATTCTAGGTAACTTGTCAGTACAACTTGCTGTAAGTTTCATGTTTTACTAAACTTATGAAGACCTCAGAGAAGCATTAAAGGGATACACTTAACTGCCGGCCAGCAACCTGGTACACACTGCTAAAAACTGTCATCATGCCGAGGTTCTGTCTTTATGTTTTGTGGCTCAATTATTATAGTATCATTTTCATACTGCTGGTGTACAGATGTCTCTTGGTCTGTGTACTGGTCGTACTGATCCATTGGATGGTAGTAGTATACTTCAGTGATGGTGCCATCCTCCTGCTGAATAATTTCATGTACTTGATGGTGCTCCAGCACCCCCTCAAATTCCATTTGCTGGTCCTATCACCCAAGAAAATAAGTTGTCAGCTCAGCAATTAAATAATTATGTTGCATAATTGAAACAGAATGCCTGCATCAAGAAATGTGTTCTCATTTCTTTCTCAGCACCTTCTGCATATGTGATCCACAATTTTAAGACTGAAATTTCTACTCTTTGCAGTTCATTCTTTCTTGCCTTTACTAACCTCCCAATTTCATAAAATCTGCCTACTGCAATGCTAAATAGTGTATTCTCTCCTAAACCCACTTCTCCAGTAAAAACACCTGTCATCTTAACATAACTTGTATTACACCAAACTAACACACTCTGCAGTAACAAGTTCATACTTTTGTCATTGATGTTTCTAGTGTTTATCCCATTACCTCCAATACGGTAGTGAAACTGGGCACACACTCACAGGCTTAAAATAATGCAAGTGTTTGCTGGCATAATGCTCTTTTCTGGCTTGTTGAAGATATGGTCATCCTATAAAGTTCTGCCCTGTGAAATCTATCCTGTACAGATGTTAACTGATCCTTATACACAACATTCCTAACATGAATCTTTACTCCAGTTTTGTTTCTAAAGATGCCTGTCTTTCTCAATGCTCTAATCTTCAAACACACATGGCAACCTAGTACTACTTTCTCACCTTTCCTTTTGACTTATCTTTTGTATCTCCTTCACCTTTCCTATCATCTGACTTTCTCCTTACTTGCTGACTTCTTAACTAGCATGGGTCAGTGGGTGGATGCCAGTATGGACATGGGCCAGTAGGCCCATTGTCCATACTGTTCTTTCTTTTAGAGACCATTCTGTTACATACAAAATCTCAGCAATGCACTGACAATGCTACAAAAAAATGCCTGCCTAACCTCAACAGAAAGAACAAAAACCACACAAACTCATAAAGAAGTGTACTGTGCAGTGTGATCTACAGGAACTTTCTGATAGCACCTCGTATATCCAAATATATTCCTGCTAACCCTTTTAGGACGTAGTTGAAAGACCTTTTACACAGTCGTGTAATCTTTTGCTATGGTCCATAAACTAGCCACTTTCGTGCAGAAATCTAAATCTGGGAAAACCGAAGTCTAACCCATGACCCAACTACCAGTTTAGAGACGAGGCAGTACTTTAAGGGCAAGTTAAATCTTGTAAGATCAGTCATGGGAAATGATTACCCAGAACTTGCTTGACCAAAGGCAAATATTAAGTTACTTTATTGTATTACAATGCATGCTATGTCTAACATGTTCTAAATGAAAAAAATGCATTCACCATCCCTTCTTTTTGGAAGTGTAGACATCTTGGTCCAATATTAACCCACCAAACTGCCAGATTACCTACTTTACCTTTTCTTTCTGTCTTATATATGACAGGAAAATCCTACAAACCTACTTACATTCAATATACACTTATCTTTACCTTCCTTTATGTTTCTTATTTATTTAATGTTTTTTCAAGGGGAAAAGTTAGCTGTACTTTTTCTGTGTAATTACTAGAGGAAAATGGAAAAAATTTGTGCAGCAGAAACATTTCGTAGCAGATGTGTGACACGTTTAACTAAAAACATTAAGTTGTGCAATATAAAAGTGTGAAAAATTGCCTGGTGATAAACAAAAAATGAAGTAAGGTGAACAGCAATACAAACTGTTGCAATACTTACACCTGATTGGAGCTGTTGATTTTCTAGTTTGAGGTGATAAGTTGCAGCGTTCAGCTCTGCTTGTTGTTCAACTTGTTTACGCCGTCTGCCACGTTTAGCCTTTGGTTCTCCTTCTATAGGCAGCATTGTTACAAACTGCCCATCTTCCAGGACCTGCTTTCCTTTATCTACATCCTGTTCTGGTCTAACAAAGTAAATTTAAAGTATTATAAACATACAGTGGCCCCCGGTTAACGATATTTTTTCATTCCAGAAGTATGTTCAGGTGCCAGTACTGACCGAATTTTTTCCCATAAGGAATATTGTGAAGTACGTTAGTCCATTTCAGACCCCCAAACATACACGTACAAACACACTTACATAATTGGTCGCATTTGGAGGTGATCGTTAAGCGGGGGTCCACTGTATTTATATCTTCTGATACTTTCCTTTATCTGGAGTTTTAACAGTTTAAGTGACCTCTTGAACAAACCTCCCACACATTTTTATCAATTTAAGATAAAAAGTTTTTAGAGAAACCCTGAAAACATTTTTTGAATATTTCCACATGTTAGTTTGTCATCTTGTATAACACTGCATCATTTTCTGAATTTTCTCTTATTCTTATAAATAACATGTTGGATTTTGTACATGTGGTTAGGTTAGGCTAAATAATGCTATACTGTGGTATATGTACAGGCAGGCCCCGTTTATACAGCAGGTTAGGTTCCGGGCTACTGCTGTAAAGTGAATCATAGCCTTTTTTCACTTTCAAATGCATATAAAAGCCTGATAATATGTTTACACTATCATCTATTAAGTAAACAATAGAGCTGGGCCTAAAAAATGCATATACAGTACACATTACTTACCTTAAAATATTTTTGTCCTTAGCTTATAGCAAGTGGTGAGCATATTTATTGTAGGAAGTCTGAATAAATGAAGAGTGGGTAAAACTGAAAACTGCTGTATTAGCGAAACACCGTAAAGAGGGGCCCTCCTGTATATGTATATTTAACCACAAAAATGCATATATCTTAAGATATGCATCAGGATTTTCCTGGCATATGAACAGAGAATGTAAGTGTGGGGGTGGTACGTGAGGCATTATGTAGAATGAAAGGGGGTAAAGCAGCTGGAACTGATGGGATCATGACAGAAATGTTAAAAGCAGGGGGGTATATAGTGTTGGAGTGGTTGGTACTTTTGTTTAATAAATGTATGAAAGAGGGGAAGGTACCTAGGGATTGGCGGAGAGCATGTATAGTCCCTTTATATAAAGGGAAAGGGGACAAAAGAGATTGTAAAAATTATAGAGGAATAAGTTTATTGAGTATACCAGGAAAAGTGTATGGTAGGGTTATAATTGAAAGAATTAGAGGTAAGACAGAATGTAGGATTGCGGATAAGCAAGGAGGTTTCAGAGTAGGTAGGGGATGTGTAGATCAAGTGTTTACATTGAAGCATATATGTGAACAGTATTTAGATAAAGGTAAGGAAGTTTTTATTGCATTTATGGATTTAGAAAAGGCATATGATAGAGTGGATAGGGGAGCTATGTGGCAGATGTTGCAAGTATATGGAATAGGTGGTAAGTTACTAAATGCTGTAAAGAGTTTTTATGAGGATAGTGAGGCTCAGGTTAGGGTGTGTAGAAGAGAGTTACCTGGAGTTTACCTGGAGAGAGTTCCGGGGGTCAACGCCCCCGCGGCCCGGTCTGTGACCAGGCCTCCTTAGGTCAGTGTCCCAGGATGCGACCCACACCAGTCGACTAACACCCAGGTACCCATTTTACTGATGGGGAACATAGACAACAGGTGGAAAGAAACACGTCCAATGTTTCTACTCTGGCTGGGAATCGAACCCAGGCCCTCACCGAGTGAAGCGAGAGCGTTAACCACCAGGCCAACAGAGCCCTAAGAGGGAGACTACTTCCCGGTAAAGTAGGTCTTAGACAGGGATGTGTAATGTCACCATGGTTGTTTAATATATTTATAGATGGGGTTGTAAAAGAAGTAAATGCTAGGGTGTTCGGGAGAGGGGTGGGATTAAATTATGGGGAATCAAATTCAAAATGGGAATTAACACAGTTACTTTTTGCTGGTGATACTGTGCTTATGGGAGATTCTAAAGAAAAATTGCAAAGGTTAGTGGATGAGTTTGGGAATGTGTGTAAAGGTAGAAAGTTGAAAGTGAACATAGAAAAGAGTAAGGTGATGAGGGTATCAAATTATTTAGATAAAGAAAAGTTGGATATCAAATTGGGGAGGAGGAGTATGGAAGAAGTAAATGTTTTCAGATACTTGGGAGTTGACGTGTCAGCGGATGGATTTATGAAGGATGAGGTTAATCATAGAATTGATGAGGGAAAAAAGGTGAGTGGTGCATTGAGGAATGTATGGAGTCAAAAAACGTTATCTATGGAGGCAAAGAAGGGAATGTATGAAAGTATAGTAGTACCAACACTCTTATATGGGTGTGAAGCTTGGGTGGTAAATGCAGCAGCGAGGAGACGGTTGGAGGCAGTGGAGATGTCCTGTCTAAGGGCAATGTGTGGTGTAAATATTATGCAGAAAATTCGGAGTGTGGAAATTAGGAAAAGGTGTGGAGTTAATAAAAGTATTAGTCAGAGGGCAGAAGAGGGGTTGTTGAGGTGGTTTGGTCATTTAGAGAGAATGGATCAAAGTAGAATGACATAGAAAGCATATAAATCTATAGGGGAAGAAAGGCGAGGTAGGGGTCGTCCTCGAAAGGGTTGGAGAGAGGGGGTAAAGGAGGTTTTGTGGGCAAGGGGCTTGGACTTCCAGCAAGCGTGCGTGAGCGTGTTAGATAGGGGTGAATGGAGACGAATGGTACTTGGGACCTGACGATCTGTTAGAGTGTGAACAGGGTAATATTTAGTGAAGAGATTCAGGGAAACCGGTTATTTTCATATAGTCGGACTTGAGTCCTGGAAATGGGAAGTACAATGCCTGCACTTTAAAGGAGGGGTTTGGGATATTGGTAGTTTGGAGGGATATGTTGTGTATCTTTATACGTATATGCTTCTAAACTGTTGTATTCTGAGCACCTCTGCAAAAACAGTGATTATGTGTGAGTGTGGTGAAAGTGTTGAATGATGATGAAAGCATTTTCTTTTTGGGGATTTTCTTTCTTTTTTGGGTCACCCTGCCTCGGTGGGAGACTGCCAACTTGTTGAAAAAAAAAATGAATAATAATAATAATACGACTTAAAATAATCATGCTTTTCATGCACAGTACAAGAATGGCCTATCACTTGCTTAAAAGAATGTGAGAAAAGATTGAAGACTGATTTATGTACTGTGAAAATATCTGAAGTACAAAGAAAAGTTGTATAAGCCAGAAAAGTCTTGTACAAGAAAAATAATAAGGACAGAATGATAAAACAAAATGACAATTTGGATTAAACCAGTATACTCAGAGAATTTGGTTTATTTCCCTAAGTTTTTAGATGCTCTTCTCTAGGATTTAACCAGCTTCTAGGTACAGTAAAGCTTCCATATTCACACTGGTCACATTACTTGAGGCTCCTCGGTTGCAGAAAATTTTGCAAAAGTACTCTCGAATAATGTTAGTCATCACAACAGAAATAACTGTACAGTGTTGACTACCTCCCTTACAGATGTGTAAATCCCAGCTAACATCAAATATAGGCCATATCTCTTTAAATATAGGGCCTGAAAGTGTGAAGCATTCAGGTTTAATACAAGGGAAGGGAGGATAGCTACAGTTTTTTAAATGGTGTGTAAACATACTCAGAAGTGTGCACCCTTCACAGGACTAAATTTAATAATTTGGTATTAATTTTTTTTTTAAAGGTTTAGCAGTCTTAAATTTTACAAACATAAATTTTCTTGCAAGCATGGAAATGATGACCGTGTATTTGCTGAATGTTAACCTGGCAAGTTTTGATGATCATGGTTACAACCCTGATCTAAAATTCAATGCTGAGACACATCACTATGTAGGTCTGGCAGGTGTGTAGCAAGTAGATTGCAGATTCCTGTATTATAGTCTATTATGTAAAAGCCTATAGAACAATCATGAAGACAATACAGGGGGGATGGGGGATTTAATCCTGTGGAAATCAGGGGCACCTATTTACCCATCTGAATGACCTGCTTGGTTGTGTATCTGAACCAGCTGTGCCTACCTTTGATTCTGCTTTTCAGTTGGCCTTGGCCTCTGATTATTTTGGTTAAAAAATAGAGAGCATTCATTTGAACTCAGATTCAGTTCATGTGGGTGTAGGGTTCTCTGTCATTTTAATTCAAACAATATTTTACACCCAGGAAAAGAATGTATCTGGCCAGAAAGATCCTTGAATTCAAGGTTCTTACTCCTGATAATACCTCCAGCCATCCTCCTGAGATGCTGCAGAATCATGACCCACTTGTTTGCTTATCTTTCCTGTGATCACTCTAATACAACTCTTAAATCATGAACTACATTTCTTTGATTTTTATTCATATTGTATATATGTTAAGTACTTTAAAATACGTTAAAAAAGTGCAGCAATTATAAGAACAAATGGATAGTGTGCTAAGGTAGGCCTACTGATCATTGCTAGACAGGTTCTCTACTGAAAACACTCAATTACAGTTCGATAAAGGACAGAGGATGAGCAAGTAAGTGATGGTGTTTATCGTCACTACAATACTGTAATACTCACCTAAATTTAACTTCCTGTATAGGTACAGTGTTTCTTACAGCATTATAGATATTTCTAAGTTGCTCTTCTAGCTGGTTAAGATACTCTTCGCTGTCTGTCTGAACGACCAGTTCAGTAATTTCTCGTACTAGTGCAGCACACCGGTATTGCAAAATGCTCTTTCCTTCCAAGCGCATCTCCTGTTTTACCTGTGGAGGTACATACTCAAGTTATTTAACATCGTGGTGGGGGTTTTATATTTACAAAAATTTTGAGGCAGCTATTAATGGTTCAGGGACTCAATACACATGTAGCTAGGCCTCAAAAATTAGACATAATAAACTGAAAAAGAAGTATTACTGGAACAAGAACTATTATTAAATAGCACATAGGTAGTAGGCTGGTAAACAGCAACCGCCCAGGGAGGTACTACCGTTCTGCCAAGTGAGTGTAAAACAAAAGCCTGTAATTGTTTTACATGATGGTAGGATTGCTGGTGTCCTTTCTTCTGTCTCATAAACATGCAAGATTTCAGGTACGTCTTGCTACTTCTACTTACACTTAGGTCACACTACGCATAATTTACACGCAAGGATTATGTGGATTAAAGTAAAGGTTGGATGCGAAAAGTGGGTCATAATATGCGTGTATGCACCTGGAGAAGAGAGGAATGTAGAGGGGAGAGAGAGATTTTGGGAGATGTTAAGTGAATGAATAGGAACCTTTGAACCAAGTGAAAGAGTAATTGTGGTAGGGGACCTGAATGCTAAAGTAGGAGAAACTTTTAGAGAGGATGTGGTAGGTAAGGTTGGGGTGCCAGGTGTAAATGATAATGGGAGCCCTTTGATTGAACTGTGTATAGAAAGGGGTTTAATTATAGGTAATACATATTTTAAGAAAAAGAGGATAAATAAGTATACAAGATATGATGTAGGGCAAATGACAGTAGTTTGTTGGATTATGTATTGGTAGATAAAAGACTGTTGAGTAGACTTCAGGATGTACATGTTTATAGAGGGGCCACAGATATATCAGATCACTTTTTAGTTGTAGCTACACTGAGAGTAAAAGGTAGATGGGATACAAGGAGAATAGAAGCATCAGGGAAGAGAGAGGTGAAGGTTTATAAACTAAAAGAGGAGGCAGTTAGGGTAAGATATAAACAGCTATTGGAGGATAGATGGGCTAATGAGAGCATAGGCAATGGGGTCGAAGAGGTATGGGGTAGGTTTAAAAATGTAGTGTTAGAGTGTTCAGCAGAAGTTTGTGGTTACAGGAAAGTGGGTGTGGGAGGGAAGAGGAGCAATTGGTGGAATGATGATGTAAAGAGAGTAGTAAGGGAGAAAAAGTTAGCATATGAGAAGTTTTTACAAAGTAGAAGTGATGCAAGGAGGGAAGAGTATATGGAGAAAAAGAGAGGTTAAGAGAGTGGTGAAGCAATGTAAAAAGAGAGCAAATGAGAGAGTGAGTGAGATGTTATCAACAAATTTTGTTGAAAATAAGAAAAAGTTTTGGAGATTAACAAGTTAAGGAAGCCTAGAGAACAAATGGATTTTGTATTTAAAAATAGGGGGAGAGTTTTTAAATGGGAAAGTTAGCCATAGGAGGGATGCCAAAAATGAAGAAAATTCTTCAAAAGATAAATGGGAACTTATTTGGTATTTAGGCAAGGGTAAATCTTTGTGCAGAGGAGAGAAGTACTAGGGGGGAAGTGAGGCAGTAAAATGAAACGGGTAAGGCGCCGGGATTCAACCCCTCTATAAAGTGTAGAAGTTGGTATTCATTTTGATGGCCGCAATTTAAAAAGTTTATGAACTGTAAATTACCCGGATGCAGAGATGCTAGTTCCTTAACTAGCAGACCAAAAGAGTGCAAACAATTATGGGGGACAAGTCTCTTATACCCAAAATTACGCTAGCTTTTAAACAATTAGACAACCTACCCCAATACCATGGCAGATAAGGGCTTTAAGCAGTGGGAGTTGGACTGTTTACATTTGAAAATTTAAGGACACCTATTTACAAGGCCTAAGAGGTTTTTGTGGCATTATGATTAGTAAACAGGCGTTCTAAGGGCATAGGGCTCCGATTTTCATAAGATTATGTACTTGCGTAGTTACTGAACATCCGTGCCTTACGGTCTGCTGCTTGATTTAGACCAAGGCAGTTACCCTATAAATGTGGCCTTACTAAATTCGTGTTGCTCAATATTTTTTAAAATTCATATGGCAAGCAGATAAACTGTGGGTCTTGGCAAAGTTCGATTAGATTAAAGAATTCATAAAGTCGGGTTGACACGTACTCCTTTGAACATGATGCTCTGCTCTTGGATCTCAAGATAAGTTGCAATTTGTTGGATTAAATTGTAGTGTATCCAAAAGAATAAAATTAAAAGTAACATAACAGTAGTTAAGATACAAAAAGATGGTATAAACTTGGATTTTAGATCCCATGAAGCACAGTACATGAATTAAATAATTTGGGTGGACCGTCTGGAATTTGGTCATAAATTAATCCACCCTCCCCAAACCCCTAGATTATGGAGACAAGCCCAGCTAGCAACTTAGGATTACAACAAAGAACTTCATCTTGTAAGAACCTAGGGAATTATGGAATAGTTTCCAACTCTTCATATACTAGCTATATCCTTTAAAACCGTAGAGCATGAACTTCAGTTCCATTCTGGGGCAATTGCTATGTACTCTATCCACCGACATTCCTTTTTGAACATAAATGCATAACTTCCCACTTTACTAAATACTGTTTCACATAGCTTGAGGAAGGTTTACAGCGCTTCGACATTAAAAATCTGCGCAACGAATGACTTCGGTTACTCTTAGTCTAGGAAGGGCGTAGGGTCGCCTATGAAAGGTATACGAGGAGGTACCAGTATGTTGTCAGGCTTTTGTCCCCTTTCCCTTTATAAGGGATATACATGCATTCGCCAATCCCTAGGTAAACTCCCCTCTTCATACATTTATTAAACAAAAGTACCAACCCACTCCAACACTAATCCCCTGCTTTTAACTTTCTGTCATGATCCATAAATTCCAGCTGCTTTTCCCCCTTCATTTTACGTAATGCCTCACGACCCCCCCCACACTTTAATTTTGCTCTTCTTCACTCCCAAAGATGGTATACCTCCCTGACCAGTGCATGAATTTTACTTGCCTCTGTCTTCCTTAACATTTAAAATTCCTCAAATATTCTCGCCATCTACCAATTACCTCCATCTCCCCACTACTAACTCCCCTACTCTGTTTTTAACTGACAAATCCATATTTTCCCTAGGCTTTCTTACTTTTTAACTCACTCCAAAAATTTTTTCTTATTTTCATTAAATTTCTTGAAAAGTGCCTCTCCCACTCTATCACTCTCTCCTTTGCACTCTCTCACCACTCTCTTTACCTTTTTTTTAAATCCCATATACTTGCTCTTCTTATAACACTATCTGCTTTGTAAAAACCTCTCATAAGGGTACCTTTTTCCTCTTTATCACCCCTTTTTACTTCATCATTCCACCAATCACTCCTCTTTTTTCCCCCTGCCCCACCCCCTATAACCACAAACTTCTGCCCACATCTAATACTGCATTTTTAAAACTATTCCAACCCTCTTCAACCCCCCCCCTACTATTCTTTGCACTAGCCACCTTTCTGGCCAATAGTCGCTTATATCTACCCGAATTCTCTCCCTTAGTTTATAAAATTTCACTTTCCCTCTTACTTGTTGTTGCCAACCTCCTCTTTTTTTTTCCCATCTACCTCTTTTCTAACTGTAGTACAATAAATAATGAATCCGTATATCAGTTGCCCCTCTATAAAATGTACAATCCTGGAGCCAAATGATTTGTCAGTTAAAAATAAGGGGAGAGTTATTAAAGGAAGTTAGATGTATTGGGAAGATGGAAGGGAAAATTTTGAGGAAAGTTAAATGTTGATGAAGATAGGAAGCTGTGATTTTGTGTATAGGGCAAAGGGGGCATAACATCTTGTAGGGTGAGGAGCCATTGTGAGTGTGGGGAATTCGGGGGCAGTAGGTAAATGAAAGGGGTAAGGCAGCCGGGATGATGGATAAAGATAGAAATGTTAAAAGCAAAGGGGGGGTTATAGTTTGGATGGTTGGGGCATTATTTAATTAAAAATTTTATGGAAGAGGGTAGTACCTAGGGGTTGGGAAGAGCATGCATAGTTCCTTGTTAAAGGCAAGGGGACAAAGAGAGTGCAAAAATTATAGGGGGATAAGTCTGTTGAGTATACCCGTAAAGTGGGATGGTAGAGATTATTGAAAGAATATTAAGAACAAGAGGGAGAATAGGATGGCAGATGAAAGGAGGCTTTTAAAAAAGGTAGGGGGTGTGGGGGGGGACCAAAGGTTTTTTACAGTGAAACATTTAAGTGAACAGTATTTAGATAAGGGAAAAGGTTTTTGTGGCATTTAGGATTTGGAAAAGGCGTAGACAGGGTGGTAGGGGCAATGTGGCAGATGTTGCAGGTGATGGTGTAGGAAAGGGAGGTTACTGAAAGCAGTGAAGAGCTTTTACAGATAGTGAGGCTTCAAGTTAGATATGTAGGGAAAGAGGGAGATTATTTCCAGTAAAGTAGGCCTTAGATAAGGATGTGTGATTTTCACCAAAGGTTGTTAATATATTTATAGATGGGGGAAGAGAAGTAAATGTGAGGGTCTTGGCAAGAGGTGTGGAGTTAAAAGATAAAGAATCACACATAAAGTGGGAGTTGTCACAGTTGCTCTTTGCTGATGACACTGTGCTCTTGGGAGATTCTGAAGAGAAGTTGCAGAGGTTGGTGGATGAATTTGGTAGTGTATGCAAAAGAAGAAAATTAAAAGTGAATACAGGAAAGAGTAAGGTTATAAGGATAACAAAAAGATTAGGTGATGAAAGATTGGATATCAGATTGGAGGGAGAGAGTATGGAGGAGGTGAATGTATTCAGATATTTGGGAGTGGACGTGTCAGCGGATGGGTCTATGAAAGATGAGGCAAATCATAGAACTGATGAGGAGAAAAGGGTGAGCGGTGCACTTAGGAGTCTGTGGAGACAAAGAACTTTGTCCTTGGAGGCAAAGAGGGGAATGTATGAGAGTATAGTTTTACCAACGCTCTTATATGGGTGTGAAGCATGGGTGATGAATGTTGCAGCGAGGAGAAGGCTGGAGGCAGTGGAGATGTCATGTCTGAGGGCAATGTGT